CCGAGCAGCGGAGTGAGCGGCAACCGAGGTCAAGATAGGGCGGCACCCGCCGCGGGCTTCTCGATTGGGTGTGTGGCGGGGGGGGGGGGGCGCGCCATGCCCCATGCGACGCCACATATGATGTGAACGCCCCCCTCCCTCCACTATGCCACTGCGCTGCAAGCTAAAAAATAATAATTATGAATCGAACTGATTCTGGAGAAGGCGTTGCCCGTCGTCCACATGAAGCTGACACGAAGCAGAAAAGGCACTCGGAGTAGCGTGGGCACTGGAACGCATTGGCAACCCCTGGGCCCTAGCGTCAGGCCCCTGAGAAACGCAACCCTCGGCGTTCGAAGTAGGAGTGCGCTTAATGGCATCGGGGGGATGGCTGGGGATCTGACGACACTTGCCCCCAACAATTGGCGAAGGTGGGCTGCTAGGTGGGAGGGAGGCGAGGCTGAACCCAATGAACATGCACGCCCTATTGAGAAGGCCGTACGGTCGGGGCCGCCGACCCTGAATGGCGGCGACGACGACGACGACGAGCGTTCTTGGGGGCCTCTGGGGGGTAATTTGTGGGCCTCTTGGGAAGCTCTTAGGGGCCGCTTGGAAGCCTCCTGGGGGCCTCTTGGGGCTTCCTGGGGGTCTCTTGGAGGGGGCCTGGGACGTCTTGGAGGTTGGAGGCGAGACTGAACCCAATGAACATGCACGCCCTATTTCATTAGAAAGCTCAAGGGCACCTGCGGATCCTTCCGCGGAGCCTTGGAGAACTTCGAGTCGTCCCAGTCGGCCATGCGCTTGCGGGTGCATTTCATCAGGGGCGTGACGTCTTCCAGCGTCTTCAGGAAGGGAATGGTGTAGTGGTACGTGCGCTGGATGCCAGCATGGTCCTTGGCAGTGATCTGGATCTCCTTGTAGTTGACCTCGTGAGTCGGCAACGGCACAGCCGCGGCAGCGGCTGCCCTCTTCCGCTCAAGGGTGTCGTCCGTGTCTTTTGCGGTCGGAGTGACGTTCTTTGGAGGTGCCGTCGGAACGATGAGCCAGGGGCAGCAGAAATCGGACCTCAAGTGGTTCATGAACTTCGTGCCGTCGAGGTAGAGCTCGGGGCCGCGCGTGCCCTTTGAGCCGACGATCCCGTTGCCGAGGGGCATCGCGAGCTCTTTCTTCAGATTCTTCACATCCCTGTCGTCCACCACCCTGCCCCAGTAATACATCACCTCCGAGTTGGACTTCTGAGGTGGCGCGCTCTCGAAAGCGACACTTGCCATGGCACCGCCCTTCGTCGACTTCTCCTCCACGGTGATGCTGATATTGTCGTACATGTCGTCCTTGTAAGGGATGCTCGTCATGTTCTCATTGATGGCGACCTGCAGCTTCCCCATGATCTCCCGAGCGTGCGCGCACACGATGTTCTTGGCAACGTCGGCGTCCTTGAGTTCCGTATCGATCGCTTTCAGCATCGAAGCTTTGAGCGTAAGAGGGGGTGTTCCTGGCAGACATTTGCCATCGCCGCCAGCTGCGCTGGCTGCATGGGCGGGGCCCTTGACAGCAACCGCCGCCGCCCGCTGCCTCTCCGTCTCGACGTGGCCCGCCAACTTCTCCAACACAACAGCGCCGCACTCAGGTCCAAGCAGTGCCCTAGTCAAGATGATCTCCTGGTGGCTGGCATCGTAAAGCTGTTCGGCCTTGCGAACGAAGTCGTTCCTGAACGTGATGAAGTTGGCAGGGAGGTCAATGTTGTCCAAGCCGCGCGTCGCCTTCACGATGGCGATGGCCTCATCTCGGGACGCGGAGTGCAATGACTTCAAGAGCTCCGCCTTCGAGGCCTCGTAGCCGTTGGCGTCGTGAAGCTGGATGTGGTCGCACAGCGAATGGACGACTTGCCCGAACATTTTTGCGATGTCAACGAAAGAGCGGCCGTCGGCGAACAGCTCGAGGGTCACCTTCGGGCCTGGCAGCTGCGAAAAGCTTGCACTCCCAATCGCGTGGCCGAGTTTGCTGGCGTCGACGGAGTCTGATGGCGCCCGACGCCCTCTGGGCCCATGGCTGGGCCAGTGGGCCGTGAAAAGGTTGCTTGCCATCTCGGCTATCACTCGGCGGCGAGATTATGCACGACTGGTGCCCGATGCACGTCGCCACGTGCATGAGGGAGCCGAACTTCACGCACTTCAACGCGACTTCAGTTCCATCGGACATTTTTTCCCAGGGGCTGTTCCTCGGGATGACCAGCTTGCTTCCAAGGGCGGTCTTGATCTCTCCGAAAACGACGGCCACGCGAATCCACGCATCAGGGACAACGTCCTCGATACACTTGGCCGAGGCCGTCATGAAATACACAGTTGCCTCCTTCTGATTTGTGGGCAGGTCGCCAGCAGTTCCTGTAGCCTGGGCGCAGACGATCGCACCCACGCTCTGCCCGATGATCGGCCTTAAAGAGAAGGGTGGGGGAGGAACGATGCTTGCCTGGTCAGCCCTCCGCGGGCCCCCTCGGACAGCCGCGCGTTCGGGCCTGTAAACGTAGTTTTTTTTCTACCAGGCTCGTTGGTGCGATTTCGGGAATTGCACCAACGAGCCTGGTAGAAAAAGTACCCCAAAAAACGACGGCCGCGAGAGGGCAAGGGAAGGGGGTGGAGGAGGGCCCCAGAGGAGAGGAGAAAGTGGGAGGGGGCGACGACGCGCCTGGCCGAAATGGGCACCGCGTCCATGTTCGCCGCGAAGAACTCAACGATCTTGGACGCAGTGCCCGGCTCCGCCTCGAAGAACTCAGACGCGCGGTCCATGTCCCACCCGCGGTCGGCGATCGCCGTGTTGCCGTCCACCGCGTCGCCGCCATCGACCAAGTCTGGGTCTGACACGCGAGGTGCCAACTTGGCCATCTTGTATACGTGGAGTTTGGCCAATCGAACAAGCTCAGTCCAACCTTTAACCTTCTTGACCTTTCCATCAACTAGGAGCTCGACTGACGTCGTGTTGGCCATGATCATGTAAAGGCCGATGGACATCATGCTGCGGATGCCGTCCTCCTGGCGGCTGTCGATACTCACCAATCTGTCAACGGTGTGCTTCCAATGGTCAAGCGCGTCGCAGTCGGCCTCGTCGGCGTCGAACTGGAAGCTGGGCGCGCCCATGTCGGGAACTGCTTGCTGCTGCTGGACAGCACTGATACCAGCTGAAATTGATGCCGATCGCCCCCTGCCCCTGCTGCTGCGGCCACGGGCCCTGCCTCTGCCCCCGCTCTCGCCGCGACCCCTGCTCGAAGTTGGCGGTGTATCAGGGCTATCTTGCTGGAGAATCTTTGCGGCACCCACCTTCGACAACAAGCGCAGCATCATGTCATCCGTGATCTTGATGCGGTCCACGCCCTCACAAATCGCGGAAGCCCCCGCGCGTTTTTTTGAGGGGCAACCCGAATGCCAGCACGCTCGTGATCATGTCGGGGTGGTCATGCTTGAGCCTCGAGAAAACTAGCTTCACTACGCCGAACACTTCGGAATGCTGCTGGGCAAAAGGGTGCTTGAATTCGACGCGCTTCTGGGAGAAAGATACGAAGTCATCCCACACGCTGACCTTCGCGGCCGCGTCGACCGTGTATTTCTTGGACTCGTCGAAGAAACTGATCATAGTGGTCAGCGCCGTGGGGTTCGGCCAGCGACCAGGGTGGATCTTCTCGGCAACCTTAAATCTAGCGACGTTGTACTTGTTCTGGCCACCCACAGAAGCAACAGTCGCACCAGGGTTCTCCACCTTGTAGCGCGCCACGACATCGCGAGTGGACCTGCATACCTGTAAATAGGTCGTCGCCGTCGCCTCGGTGTTGACCTCGTTCTTGTAGTCGACGTAACTTGCACACCGCATCAGGCGTGTCCTTGAAGAGAAGCCTGCAGCCCATTATGGGCTTAGAGAGCGACTCCACCAACATCTTGTTCGTGTTGAAGTCAGGGCGGGCATAGCATTGCTTAGCCCCTTCAATGAGGGTGGCCCAGTCCAGCGCCATGAAGCGCTCCCCCACTGCGGTGTCATCTCCTTCTGGCGGCTCAATGAGAGTAGGCGGCGCCCGAACCTCCATGATGCCGTGCTTCCACACAGACGCTGCCCTATCGTCGATGGAGCCCTCGTCACCACGATCGTTCCTGGGGTCCCGATCCACCGCGAAGACTCCCTCCCGAATGAGCGTCACTGTCTTCTTCGGGTCCTTTGTGTAGAGGGCATCCGATATTATCTTCAGTTGGGCCACGTCCAAGTCAGTGCCAAACATGTCCCTAATTGTGAACGCATCGTTATTCCAAATGTTCGGGAACCTCTTCATAGCAAGGGCGACCAAGAGATCCTTGTTATAGCCTGCTGCTCTGGACTCTTCAGATTGAACAACACCCGCTGAAGGCACCACTGCAGCAGACTGCCCATCTGGTGACGACATCACACTGGCTCGCTGATGGATTGCAATTCCACTGAATATCACCGTGAGCGATACAAAGATTGCTTGAGCTGAAACGGTTGCGGAGAGTTAAGGTGACGGCACCCAGCTTCCGCCATTTACTGTTGCAGGCAGTTGCGATGACCAAGGCATGTTGAGTGCAGCCGGCCTTGTTTCATATCGATCTGTTTCATCATCATAATATTCTTCCCCTCCTCCTTCTCCTCCTCCTCCTTCCCTCTCCCCCCCCCCCCTGCATATGGAGCCCCTCCATATTGATCGGGATGCATCTGGAGCCTTTCCATATCGATCGGGATGCATATGGAGCCATTCCATATCGATCGGGATGCATATGGAGCCCTTCCATATCGATCGGGATGCATATGAGGCCCTTCCATATCGATTGGGATGCATATGGAGCACTTCCATATCGATCGGGATGCATATGAGGCCCTTCCATATCGATCGGGATGCATATGGAGCCCTTCCGTATCGATCGGGATGCATATGAGGCCCTCCATATCGATCGGGATGCATATGAGGCCCTTCCATATCGATCGGGATGCATATGAGGCCCTTCCATATCGATCGGGGTGCATATGAGGCCCTCCATATCGATCGGGATGCATATGGAGCCCTTCCGTATCGATCGGGGTGCATATGAGGCCCTCCATATCGATCGGGATGCATATGGAGCCCCTCCATATCGATCGGTATGCATATGAGGCTCTCCATATCGATCGGGGTGCATATGGAGCCCTTCCATATCGATCGGGATGCATATATGGGTCCCTCCATATCGATCGGGATGCATATGGGGCCCCTCCATATCGATCGGGGTGCATGTGAGGCCTCAGGGAGCCTGGTAGTCTCAAGAGGGCCTAACACAGCATCAACGGTCCCAGAAGTGTCTCAAAAAGTAATTACTCCAACACGGTGGAGGAGTGAAGGCGACACGATAGCTAACTTTTTTTTGCCCAGCGCACGCTCGAGCCAAAATGCCTATGAGCCAAAATTGCGACGGACGTCAGTAAGGGGCGTTTTCTTCAACGCAAACTCGGCAGCCCCGAAACAAGACAGCCTCTGGAAACGGTGTCTCGTTGCCTGGGCCACGTCGATTTGATGCCTCCCGATGGGTTTGACCAACGTGGTTCTCCCGATGGGTTTGGCCAACATGGTTCTCACGATGGTTTTGACCAACGTGGTTCTCCCGATGGGTTTGACCAACGTGGTTCTCCCGATGGTTTTGACCAACGTGGTTCTCCCGATGGTTTTTACCAACGTGGTTCTCCCGATGGGTTTGGCCAACGTGGTTCTCCCGATGGTTATGACCAACGTGGTTTTCCCGATGGGTTTGGCCAGCGTGGTTCTCCCGATGGTTCTGACCAACGTGGTTCTCCCGATGATTTTGACAAATGTGGTTCTCCCGATGGGTTTGGCCAACGTGGTTCTCCCGATGGTTTTGACCAACGTGGTTCTCCCGATGGCATTGACCAACGAGCGTCAAGAATAGGAAAAACGATGTAGAGCGGTAGAGGTGGAGGAGGAGGAGGAGGAGGAGGAGGAGGAGATCCGCTGCACTTAAGGGCCCCTTAAGTGCAGCGGGCTGTCTTGGCCTCCGGCATAGGGTTCAACTTTGCCCCCCACGCGCCTAGGGCGCGCGCGCGTAGCTCCGGCCGCGCGGACGGCTGCGTCCGACTGGACATCGAGCCGATAGCGATAGCGATAGCGATAGGAGGAGGAGGAGTAGGAGGATAGGGTATAGGGTGACGGAGAGGAGACGAGGAGGAGGACGAGCAGGAGGAGATGGAGATGGACGTGGAGGTGGATTCTGGACAGCGAGAAAGGTTCCCACCTCCACCAGCCCACTTCGCTCTCCCAGCCTACCCCCTCCAGACGGGGAGAGGAGAGGCTAGACTGGTCAGGACTTGATTGCTTCGTCTACTCCCCCGCTCTGTCGCAACATTGGCTCATGCTCGATTGCTCAAGGCTGCCCAGGCTGCCACGCGCCTGGCGCGAGAGAAACAAGTTGGCGCTATGCATCGCCTGCGCAACACAGAGGGCATGCCCACGACTCTGCTGCGAAAGCTGGCCTTGCGAATCCCGAAGGGACGCCCGCAGCAACATGCGCAAAATGTGCGCAACGCGCGTGCCAACATGACGTGCAGCGGAAACACATGAACACGTCCTCACTTGCGGGAAGGGGTGCCACGCCTATGGCGTGCTCCTGCAGGCTTGAGCACAGCAAGCAAACGCATGCCTCACTCGTTGCACCCTGCGGTCCAGCGTACAACTTGGCATTCTCTGCCGACCCGAGTAATCTAACCCAGGCTGGCATCATCTCTGCATCCTCCGTTCTCTTGCGCTTAAGGTACACAGCAGGAATGTTCGCCACAATCACCCTTGCATCTCGAAACGAACGGCTAGGGTTATTTTTGTAAATGAGTGCTTTGATGTGGCCCCGTGGCCATAAAGTCAGAGTCCTACCCATCTTCGAATCAGGGTTCTCCCAATACACATATCCGCCAGCCAATAGTGGCCACGTGGCTGGGCCTTAGCTGCTGGGTCGTGCCATGCCCTTCCGAAGCTAGGGAAAGCGACAGCCCCGACAGTTCTCCGATCGATCCCCATAGCGCCTCGAGAACATTGGCCCTTCCCAGAAGAGGCAACCACTGAGTGCATCGGGGTGCGTGGGAACCATCCAACAGCCACTCCCCCCACCCCCCAAGAATTGACCCTCTTGGGCCGTAGATCTGCCGAAGGCGGGTGTCGCCGCTAGGCGTCGTGATTGAACGTTGCGATCGCTAGTTTCGACTAATGACATCCCGCCTTTCCTGGGCGGCCTCAAATGGTCGGGCTCCCTCGATTTGTCGAAGGCCTCCACAACTCGCGCTCGCATCGCTTCCCGCGTCGACGCGACAGCTGCCAATGCAGCCGCCCGCGTCTCGGGGCTGCTGGCTACGAGCGGGATGTCAGGGCCAGGGGTGCCGCCGTCGCCGCCGCTGCCGCTGCCTGTGCAGTCGGGCGGTTCAGGGCCTGCGACGCCGAGGCCGTCGGCCGTGAGGATCACGTCGTCTGGCGATGCTGTTGCGCCGCCGTCGTCGTCGAAAACGTCCGCGGTGTCGACATCCTCGTAGAGACCCGCGTTCTCGTCCATCAGCGTCGCGAGATCGTGGCCGACGTCGCCGTCGCCCTCTATGCCCTCGAGGTCATGGGCGGGAGCTTCGTCAGCTGGCGCGGCTGGTGCCGGTGCTGGCGCGGCCGCGCCAGCGCCCGCGGGCGCAGCCGTGGCCGTCTTGAGAGCCATCGTGAGCCGTTGGTGCCCGCTGTTCTCAGAGCTCACAGTCGCCACGCCGTTGGACCACGAAAGCGAACTCCAGACCAAGTAGACAGGCTTCTTTGGGTGATCCTTGTATGTGCGGAGGAAGTCGATGCTATAGCAATAATCGAGCAGCGGGATTGGGTCTGGCCATCCTTCGTTCAACTTGAAAATCAAATTGCCTGCCCCGTCGTCGGAGCACACTCCCCTGCGAACAGTTACTTTGGTTCCATACGTAAAAGCCACAACAAACCCAGCAGTGATGACGTGCCCAGCCTTGTCGCTGATATCGTAGACAAAATCGGGGAGCTCGTCCACGATATGGTAAGCAGACAGCGCAGCCCTCGCGCAGTATAGCTTGTCGACTGGAAACACATGGGCGCACGACTCCACGAGCTTCTTCTCTGACGGCAACCCGCCGCCACCGACTGGGACCACGGCGCGGCAAAGGCGTTCTCGGTGCCATGCCGTGTCGGCCAGCACCGTTGCCTCGGAGCGAGGGCCGAGAGAAGAGAATGAGCCAGGAGAAAGATGCAGGAAAGGAGAAGGATGAGCGGGGTGCCTGCTCATCAAGATAGCAGCAATCCTCCACGGTCAACCTGAACTGCCTACTCTTGATGATCATGCGAGCGTTGGCCGTGGACGCTTTCATCGCTGGGGCTCGGTTAGCCATGCATTGAATCACGTTGTTGAAGCCCTCGATGTCTTGAGTGTGCCCTGATATCGAAGCCCTCAGCGACAAGCAGAAGCCGTACAACGCATGGTGGCATATGCCAAGTTCCTTGGCCACTCCGATCTCTGCGCGAAATGCTGCCTTGAACTTTATTGCAAAGTCTGAGAACTCATCCTGCAGACAACAGTCGTCAGTATCTAGCAACGCGGACGCCACCTCCCTCCGACGTGGACAATCAATGTCTGCAGACTTCTCGCAGAACGCAAGGGCCGCCAAAGGAAACGATGAGCACATCTTTGTGAACCGCATGTGCCACTGGGCCTGCGCCTTCAAGGTAAGCGCCATGATTAGGAGATTCGCCCGTGGAAGAGCAGCAGGAGGGAGTTCTGAAAGAGGGCCGCCCCATAGATCTGTAGCGCGAAACGCAGCAGGGTCCATCAACGCACGTATCTGACCAGCGACCTCCTTCGCCTTAAACTGCACAAGGTCGGACACAAACGTCGGGCCGAAGTACGACTGCCCATTCGCGACGGCATCGTCTTGATACTTGTTTGTTTCCCGAATGCGCTTCTGGGCCCAATTGAAATATCCCACCAGAGGATTCTTCGCAATGAGCGAAGCGGCCACCATGAATTGGAAACGACGGTCCCCCGACATAGCGCATGCGTTTGATCTCATGGCCCTGGCGTGCGCCTGGTAGGCTGCGTCTTCATCGCCGCCGACTGCTGCGATGGTGACCTTCTTTTTATTCACATCCATCCACCTGCGGAGCACGGCGTGGACTAGCGGAAGCCTGCCCATCAAGAAAGCCTCGACGTCATCCATAGACCCCCATCGCCCCCGAAGGCATCGACTGGGCACGGTCGAGAAGTTGTTAGTCGCAACCTCGTCATCAAAGAGATCGACGGCCACGTCCCGCAACTTGCTCAGCA